GAATATCTCCAACCATATATTGTTTTAGAGCCAAACCGAATATTCAATTATTTTTCTATATTGTAAAATTAAATACATTAGCCCAAGTCATGCTAAGAGACTTCAAATCAGTCACGTGTTTCGGGCGAGCGACACCTGCGCGACCCCCCACGGGCGGCCATGTTTGTATATGCGGACTATTCCCCGGAAATAGCCGGGAGGGCACCGGTGCGGGTCGAAGAGGGGCTTACATACCAAGGGGCGCCCCGCAGGCCGGGAACCTTGAGACCCCCCGCTGGCCGCGACCCACACGCCCACAGAGCCTCACCTTCGCCGCTGTTAAATCGCCTCGTTAATCCGACGTCCGATCGCGACGTGTCTCCCGCTCGAACGCTCGCGCGACGCTCTCCAGCGGGGCGCGGAGGAGGGCGGCGGCGACCGGCGGGGAACAGGGACGGCGAGGAACAGGGACGACGAGTAACTGGGACGGTGAGGAACAGGGACAGCGAGGAACAGGGACGGCGAGGAACATGAGGGACATGGCGACGAGCCACAGTGGCGGGAGGGACAGGGCGCCGCATCAGCTCATCGAAGGGGGGGGGGGTCGACATTCTTCATCTTCGCCAAAGCTTTTCATATCTTTCACACTCATGCTTTATCTGGCATCTTGCATCACACGTGGTTAGGTTTACATGAAAGAGCAAAAGGAAGCGCTGTGACCACTCTTATCAGCCATCTACGGATACGCTGCCGTTGCCCCCCCCCCCCCCCCTCTCTCTCTCTCTCTCTCTCTCGTCTCTCTCTCTCTCTCTCTCTCTCTCTCTCTCTCTCTCTCTCTCTCTCTCTCTCTCTCTCTCTCTCTCTCTCTCTCTCTCTCTTTCTTTTTCTCTCTCTCTCTCTTTCTTCTCTTGTTCTTCTCTCTTTCTTCTCTTGTTCTTCTCTTGTTCTTCTCTTGTTCTTCTCTCTTTCTTCTCTTGTTCTTCTCTTGTTCTTCTCTTGTTCTTCTCTCTTTCTTCTCTTGTTCTTCTCTCTTTCTTCTCTTGTTCTTCTCTCTTTCTCCTCTTTCTCTTTTCTCCTCTTTCTCTTTTCTCCTCTTTCTCTTTTCTCCTCTCTCTCCTCTCTCTCCTCTCTCTCCTCTCTCTCCTCTCTCTCCTCTCTCTCCTCTCTCTCCTCTCTCTCCTCTCTCTCCTCTCTCTCCTCTCTCTCCTCTCTCTCCTCTCTCTCCTCTCTCTCTCTCTCTCTCTCTCTCTCTCTCTCTCTCTCTCTCTCTCTCTCTCTCTCTCTCTCTCTCTCTCTCTCTCTCTCTCTCTCTCTCTCTTCTCTTGTTCTTCTCTTGTTCTTCTCTCTTTCTCCTCTCTTTCTCCTCTCTCTCCTCTCTCTCCTCTCTCTCCTCTCTCTCCTCTCTCTCCTCTCTCTCCTCTCTCTCCTCTCTCTCCTCTCTCTCCTCTCTCTCCTCTCTCTCCTCTCTCTCTCCCCTCTCTCTCCCCTCTCTCTCTCTCTCTCTCTCTCTCTCTCTCTCTCTCTCTCTCTCTCTCTCTCTCTCTCTCTCTCTCTCTCTCTCTCTCTCTCTCTCTCTCTCTCTCTCTCTCCTCTCTCCTCTCTCTCCTCTCTCTCTCCTCTCTCTCTCCTCTCTCTCTCCTCTCTCTCTCCTCTCTCTCTCTCTCTCTCTCTCTCTCTCTCTCTCTCTCTCTCTCTCTCTCTCTCTCTCTCTCTCTCTCT